ACACGTTACTCCACTGAAAATTTACAAAGATCTCTTTCAGCCCCAAAATGCCAGTTGAGCCCTGGGCCGGGTTGTTCAAAGCAGGGTTAAGATAACCCAGGGTTGTACGAAATTTGATTTCAGATATATATCTTTCGTCCTCAACTTGTATTCCGTAAGTTACAAAAAATGAACTTGGATGTCATGGTTATATGAAAGCTTGAGAAGCAAATTCAGTTTTATTCTTCCTGCCGACACTTTGATGATTGGGTGCTCTAAAAAGAAGAGAGGAAATTACCCGGGAAAATACTTTTGAACAAAAGAAAAAGAAACCCGGGTTAAAATTTAACCCCGGGTTAGCACTAATCGGCCTTCGAACAACTGGGCCCTGAAGGTCAAAGTCTAATTCAGCCTCACCTGAAGCCATTTGGACAGTATAACAGCCCAATCAAAAGGATATTCGAATTCCAGCCCACGATGGGACCCATTTCAGTCCTTGGGTCCAAATCAGCCGGGACTGTATTGGCCCTGATTAAGGGAACCAAATTAGACTCGATAATTATAAAGGACTGTATTTTGCTCACTGAAACAGCTCCATTTTTATGGCTAAAACTGGCAGATCTTTCTGATTTACATGTGTTTATTGTTGTGATCTGAATATTTCAACAACTGCAATCTACTACGAAACCTCAAAGATTATTAGACCACAAGGTCATAGAAAGTTCCTGCTTCCATTGAACTTCTTTTAAAGAATCTTGGACAGAATTATCCAAGATTGGCTTAAGAGATAAAAACAAGACAAGACAAAGACTGACACAAGACGTCTTCCTTTTTACCGTGTGTTGGTCCCTGTTTTTACAGGGATTCTCCACGCGGTATAAAATCTTACCTTTTCAAATAAAAATTTGACCGAATAGTACCCTTTTTATTTTCCTTCCATAAAAATCTGTGATACCCCTATCATAGAATGACTGCACTTAACATGCAACATCTCTTTTTACCTCAAGTCAACTAAAGGATATATCGATCTGAGCAACGTAAAGCTCTGTGAAATTTCAATTAAGTAACATTTCAGGTACACATTTTGTCTGTAAAAAATTCGCCTTTACATATCGCTCATTTCACAGTATTCGCACCCTTATTTGTTGCAAATAAATTGCTCTAAACCATGCAACACTTGTCCAAAACGTGGTGGCAGAATCATTTGCTCTTTTTAATATTCATTTTTAGCTGTAGAAAAAAACAAAAAGAAACAAAGCAAACAAACAAATACAAAAACAAACAAACGAAAAAAAAAAATTCCAGTTTGTTATGCATACCTTTGTAAGCCTGAGTCATACCAATCACGGCAATCAAGACAACGATGTTAATTGTTATCAAAACCTTCATTATGAAAAGACAAAGTAACGAACGACAGAGCTTTCTGATGTGAACCTGCAAACCAAAAAAAAACGTTCGCAACTGCTAAAAAGACACAGTTTGTGAAGCTTATGTAATGACCTTGTGACACCTGGGGTCAATTAAATAAAATTTTAACTAGTGTACTTTACAAGTGTAACCATTGTTTTAGGTTCCGAAAACAATAGCTACACTTGTAAATTACACCTGTAAAAGTTTTTTAAGTTAACCCCTGGTTATTCACCAGCAACTTAACAAAAAAGTTCGCTAGGAAGTCTAATTAATCATTAAATCTTCTGTCCATGTATGGAATGTAATAACAATAGCTGGATTTTTTCCCATCAGCACACGCTCTCATTGGTTACCTCAAGATCACATGACATCTAAACAATGAAACTGTTTCCCGCCAAAATCTCTGAGCCGGCAACATTGCAAAATCTATGACGTCAGAAGGTAACTGTACTGTTACCCACAAATGTTTACCGCTCGCGAGATTTATTTTCATAACTTTGCGCACGAAAAAGTTTTTTTTCGTGGACTATTTGACAAGTCGCTTAAAGACTGGTCCCTTGGAAAACAGTTCATTTTGCTTCCCGAGAATCTCAATGTTTTCCGAGGCGACCGGAGCCGAGACCAGTCATTGAGTGTTTAATATGCCTGGCTGACTTGCTTCCAGTCTTTGCCTTTCCACAGTTTTGAGTTAACTAGAATATCTTTTAATAATAGTTTCGCTTCGATTTTAGGTAAATCCGACTTTGGTTGGTCCTTTTCACCGTTTATAATTTGTTTAAATTCCAGGTTAGCGCGCTATTTTAGGTGCCAGTTTTCTGACACCTAAATTTTCCTTTCACTAACGATCGAACCCCAGTTAGTAAATAATTTACTAAATGTTTAGCCAAACGGGTTATTTTTCTAAGTCTTTTTAAAATGTTAACAAACTTTGCTTAAACTTATGATCTTACTTTAAACAAAGCATCAGGGTAAAACAATATCTTACCCTTAGATGTATACCATAGATAATTATAACGCCATTGATCGCCGAGAACGTTAAGCAAACTATTCGTAAAAGTTAATTTATTATTTACTAGGTAAAAACTTGACGAAAAGTTTTTCGTTTCTTAACGAAAATCAAAATTTTTTAAAGCTTTCCGGCGTAAACAGCACTGAGTATTCTTTAAGGCCTAAATTCATTCCGTTCATTAAAAACTTCTTACGTACACATTGGAGATCATATCCTACATGACCTACATCATCTTCTTGGCTCAGTTACTCACTTACCACCAGAACTCCAAAGTATCCTAGCCATACCATAGCGGATTTGCTTTATCTGTGATAATTTAAGGTAGTCCCACACTTTCTCTCTACTCTAGACCATTTCCGAGTCTCTCATTAATCGCTATAATTATTCCTTTCTCATCGTTTTTAAAAAACTCTGAAAAGCATCGTCACACCCACGATCATGGCAACACAAAAAGGCTTGTTGGCAAGACTTACTCAAAGCCTTTACTTTGAGAAGAATGACAAAGGAAGTTTCAACGTAAAACAGCGAAAAAAAGAAAATCACAAATAGTAAAAAGACGCAGCGAGAGAAGAATAGATAATGATATCCCTCTGTTACCGACCTGGTGACAACCGGTTGATCCTAAGGTATTTGAAAAGATCAAGAAGATCACTATGGAACCCAAATTTTGCCTTCCTGTTATCAACTTCTTTTCTTTGTTTTATTATGTCATTTTGTGAGCTGTCTTTATAATTCTCGATCTCTAATGTAACATTGGGCTTGTAGAGGAAGCTATTCTCTTTCATTTTTCGAACTTATTTTTCATTACTCTCAGCTCACGGACGAAAAACTCTTTTTATTAGTTCAAGGATTTACTTCGCTGCCTTCTGCGTGGAAAAATTTTGGAAAAGTCGGCGGGAAATTCATAAAGGGTAAGAGAAAAAGTATTTATTTACTGTTCTCTGTTGCAGCCCGTTTCTCGTAAGTTCCGGTAACTTTTCGGGCCCGAAGGCAAAGTTTGAAATCAAATAAAGAAACAGGCCTCAGATTTCTTTTTCGTTAGACACTAAGACACTAAGCCGGGTCCGGAAACGGAAGTCTGATATTTCACTTTATAACGAACCCCTATTCAGCGGACACCTCTATTAAGCGGACGCGGACCGTACTAAAATATAATGTATTTGGCTAATTTCTAACTGGCTTGAATTGACAATAGTAGTATTGGATTACATCCTTGATTTACGTGCTAAAGTCAGTTAATGTTTTTTGCATTTACAAACAAATTCAGTTGGCAATGAAAGGTAATGAACTTGAACTCTGGATAGCTTCTTTAACAACATGCAACTGTATCACAATTTAGAGTAACCGTTGAATGTTGATCGTTAACGAACATTGCGTAAACTTTACAACCTCTATTAAGCGAACACTTGGGAAGGCCTCGAAGGTGTCCGCTTGATAGAGGTTTCACTGTATTTCTCCTCTCTCCTCCTCTGTGTTGTGGGGAGGCTGGGGAGAAAAAAAAAGAGAGCACCGGGGCACGATGGGAGGGCTTTCTATTTTTTTCGATTATAATGCTATTCTTAAAGGAATACCAAGCGGGACCCTCTGCGGAGGAGAGAGCTACATTTCTCCATGATTAAGGTGGCTGAACACAGTTTCGCGGGCGGTCAGCGGTAGCGCATGTTTTAAATTAGACAAACAAACATAGCGACGAAAAAAGCAATGGTACACAGAAGACGATTTCTCAAAATCTACCCATTAAAATTTTGTGATATTTGGCAGAATTTTTACTTTTATCGTATTTTAAATAATGAGAACTTTAAAATGGGAGTTGAACAGACGAATTTTGTGACACATTTAATAATTACAGTACAATTATATTATTGATTATCTGAAAACCCCTCTGTTAAAATTTGGTCAAATAAGTTTCAAATAGTAATGATTAATTATAGTAAGCTGTGTGCGAGTTTATAGGAAAATCTAATGAGCGAATTTTATGTAAACTGAGTAAAAGTGAAATTTTAANTATTGATTATCTGAAAACCCCTCTGTTAAAATTTGGTCAAATAAGTTTCAAATAGTAATGATTAATTATAGTAAGCTGTGTGCGAGTTTATAGGAAAATCTAATGAGCGAATTTTATGTAAACTGAGTAAAAGTGAAATTTTAAGGTTGTATTCAATCGTTTATGTTGCCATGGAAACTACGAAAACGTCAAATTTTACCTGTCAGTCAAAATCTTTCATCGTTATATTTTTCACTTGCCAAGTTTCAGCTGGTGAGCTGCAACCTTTCTCTTGCCATAATTTGGCAAATTAGGACCTATACTCAGAAACTGCCAAAACTGTGTTCAGCCACTTAAGCGAAACGTTTAGGGCTCTCAAAGTGAGCTTGGGCTACCTGTGGTAGCTCAACAATTCTCAGAAAGACAGGAAGACAGATTTACGCTAAACCATCAAAACATGTCAAAGAACTCCATTTGATTGGTTAATAATGCAGAGTGTATTTTGTGTCACAAGACAAGACTTCATTGTTCATTCCCAAAGCAATTTCCTTGATTGTCAACAGTTTAAAAAGCTAAAGGCATCAATTTGTCAAAACTAACCTTATTTCCGACCCTTCCATGGATATAAAGACCTTGCTGGACAATCTTCATGATGAAGTATCCTGCTCTGTGTGTATGTGTACATTCACTGATCCAAAGCAGTTGCCTTGTTTGCACAGTTTCTGTCTTCACTGCCTGAACGGAATTCAACGAACGAACGGCGTCCATGGCAAAATTACATGCCCCGAGTGCAGGAGACAGTTTCAGATTTCTGGAAGTGGAAATCCCAGCGAACTTCCCACCAATTTTCGAATAAACAGCCTGCTAGATGTCTTGGTAATAAAAGAGTGTAGTACAGCTAACGTGAAGTGTGGAAACTGCGATAAAAGGAGTGCCCACACTTCGTATTGCTTCCAGTGTTGTTCCTTCTGGTGCGAGAAATGCATTGTAGGACATGACATGATGCGTGCTAACAACGAACACAGAACGCTAGCACTAAAAGATTTTCAAGATCAAGACATCAAGGCTGTATTAGAGCGACCAGCATTTTGTCAGAAGAAACACCATGAAAAAGAAGAGCTGAAGTTCTTTTGCAAGGGCTGTAAAGTCGCCATTTGTAACACTTGTGCTGTAACACTTCATGAAGGTCATGGTAAGATGCCCTTGCAAGAAGCTACTGATGAGCGTAAGACACAGATTAACTCCATGATTCGATCTTTGAAAGACAAAGTACTGGAAAAACAAAAGGAAGTCGAACAATTCAACCAAAGAAGCATCGCATTTCAATCGAAAGTAGCCGAGGTAAAAAACCAAGTGCAGTCTTGTGTAGACCAAATTATTGCAATCATCGAAGAGAGAAAACAAGATGTTTTTGATGAGATTGATAATCAAGAGAAAAAATCACTGGAATCTCTCTCACAGAAAAAAGACAAAGTTGAAAATCAAGTGAAATTAATTAAATCAGCAATTGAAGAAACTGAAACTCTGTTAAAACGAAGCTTTAGTACTGAAATTCTGGGATTCAGTGAAACATATGATTCAATCCTACAGGAACAGAGCGCCCAAGAAAACCGTGACGGCACTGAATGTATTCCTCGGTTAAGTTTCACTAAAAGTGAAGAACTGATTAACCTGTTGAGCATGAGCGAGGGGATAGGTAAAGTAGAAATTGTTTTTAGCGAAACTATAGAGCAACAATCAGGAGCTAAAGGTAACGAAACTAGTAAAGTAATTGTTGTGAATAAAGGGGCAAATGTTCATGACAGTCCTCTTGAGACTCAGGTACAAACTAGGCGCTTCATATCTGTGCTAGCATTTGCCAAAAAGGGTGAGTCTATTGGAATGCTTTATTGGCCTTTGGGTGTGGCAGTAAATGATCATGATGAAATTGCTGTGACTGAATACCGTAACCACAGGGTTTCAGTGTTTAGTAGTGACGGTACCCACTTAAGATCCTTTGGTAGGAAGGGTAAGAATAATGGTGAGTTGCAGTATCCTGCAGGGATCGCTTTGATAGTCATGGTAATATTGTAGTGGCAGACATGTATAACAACAGGGTGCAAGTCTTTGATAGGAATGGTAACTTTCTTAGTAAGTTTGGTGAAAAAGGGAGTCGTGATTACCAGCTTTTTAATCCTGAAGGTTTATCAATAGACGGCAACGGTGACATTATCGTTGCTGATAAAGGTAACGAACTAATCAAGATATTCTCTGTTAGTGGGGAGTATCGACGTAAATTTGGTGGAGCAGGTTCTTTGGTTCATCCCAGTCACTGTATCCAACACGGTCAATATTTTATAGTCTCAGACTGGGGTGATCATTCCATTAAAATGTTTGATCTGGAGGGAAAGTTTATTTCTAAATTTGGAAAACATGGAAACAAGGATGGAGAGTTCAATTGGCCCCGTTACTTGTCAGTTAACAAAGAAGGATTGCTTATGGTCTGTGATGAAAATAATCACAGAGTTCAAGTATTTGAACTGAGTGGAAAGTTTGTTACAAAGTTTGGAAGTGAAGGTAGTGAGAGAGGAGAGTTTGAGTGTCCAGTGTCTACAGCAAATCTTAGTGATGGAAGGATAGTTGTGTGTGAAACGGATAACAACCGCATCCAGGTTTTTGACTGGATATAAATATTATGATCTTACCAGTGGTAATATTCTTGTAAAGTTTAAAATCAGAATTATCTAAAATAAGAACTGAACCGTCATTTTCCGAACAATACCATCTCGTGAAGTATTTGTCATTGTTGACCTTTTCTAGTTGACATTAGGTTTCTCCTTTCATGTAGTTTGTCATTTCTGGAATGAAACGATTATAAAAACTTGGCTGTGAATGTATTAACAGCTAAAAGGACATTCAACTTTTAATTTATCTGCTCATTTAATTGCTGAATGTAGTTTTTAAACAAAATTAAAATTAGTGGGTATTAAGTTTTAGTATCATGTTTTTGTTGCTGTTGTTGTATACCTATTTACCTTTTTTCTGGCAGCGGCTAGTTGTAAGCGTATACTTGGAAATGTTATTTTTGAGCCTTAAGCTCATGTACCATTTTTTCTCAACTGGTTCTTCAGTGCAGTTAATAATAATATGTTAAACAAACTATAGAAAGATTTGTTGAAGATGCATTAAAGGATAATCAATAGAAAAAATGTGTGTTTTTTTGTTAACATTTATCACCATCAGTCAGACCATCGTCCCACTTTACCTAATTCAGGTGTCAATGTCTTAACACGCAAGTACTAATTGAGAACACTGTTTGTGCTTAGTGGCTTATAGCCAGTCACGCTCTATGCTATTGCCTGTCTTAGTCCCGGACTAACACGGATGAACTGAAGGTCCGTTCATCTATCCGTAAGGACATTTCTATTGTTCTCGTACGTGCGTTAACGCATAACTTTCGGAGCAAATGGACTGGTTTCGATACCTGCTATCACCCTCATTTTTTCACTATGTTTTATAACGCGTTGTTCTCTAATTTGTTTAGCCGAAGGTTCACCCCGTTTGCAACAGGGCAAAGGCTATACCTTCTTCCTCACTATTTTAAGACTTAGAGTATTGGTCTGGTCCCGGGAATCAAAACCCTCCACCTTCAGCTCTGCAGGCCAGCGTTCCACCGAATGAGCTAATTGCCGTTTAAGTTAGCAGTGCAAATCCTCAACAGACGTTTACCATAAAAATTGCTGGGAACGCGTCGCACGTTTTGCAAGCCGTACTCAAGTGTGATCTGCGTGGCAGGAGCAAAACAGAAAAGGAAAAGGGAAAAATGACGAAAGGGAGAGCGAAAGTATCTTATCTTAGCCTGAGAAAACAGCCGACATGTTGCGACGCCACTGGTTTCCCCGCGAAATAACGCCTGAGAAACGGGCGCAGAAATTCTATACTGATGACTAGTCACGGCCCAGATCTGGATAGTGCTTCTGATTGGTTGTGCCGCGTGGAAAATTTACATCAAATAGAGTACCGAAGTGATGACGTCATAAAAATGAAATTTGCGAAATTATGGGATTTGTTAAGATATTCTGAAAGAACAACGTCCAAGACGCCTACTCGCCAAAAATTAGCAATTCGGGGCAAATTGTCCCTGAGATATTAGCCCAGTTATGCTGTGACGACTCCATACAAATCCTTCTAAATTTGGCTTGGTTCATAAGATTAGGAACCAGGTAAGATTTAGAAGGATTTGTATGGAGTCATCGGAGCATAACTGGGTTNAATCCTTCTAAATTTGGCTTGGTTCATAAGATTAGGAACCAGGTAAGATTTAGAAGGATTTGTATGGAGTCATCGGAGCATAACTGGGTTAATATCTCAGAGACAATCTGCCCCAAATTGCTAATTTTTGGCGAGTAGGCGTCTTGGACGTTGTTCTTTCAGAATGTCTTAACAAATCCCATAATTTCACAAATTTCATTTTCTATGACGTCACACTTCGGTACTCTATAATCAGAAACATTACCCAGATCCGGCTAGTGACTCGTCATCAGTATGGAATTTCCCCTCCAAGGTTCCATCATGGATGATTGTTCATTGCAGT